GCACACATACACTCTACATTTTACTGATCATTCAAATCAGTTCATCCCTAACATACACAGTCTTGGTTAGAAATCAGCCTTTTCTTTGTCAGTCCTTCAAACATTTGAACACCTGTGTGTGCAGGTTCGAGTCTCTGTTGGCAAATGATTCTGAAGACTCACTGCAACAGAAGAAAAAGAGGATTTGGTGAGAGCTGCCTTATATTTGGGGACAGTGTACTCTCCTCTGGTAGATGATTGTCTTACTCCAGATGTTTTTGGTTTTTTTTTAGTTTTTTTACCTCAATGAGATGAAACCCTTCAGAGGAGGAGCAGCAGCATAAAGAATTTGAAAATCAAAATAATATTAGCATATATCACATCAGAGTATTGGTAAAATACATGACAACAGTCGTATTTACATTTAAAGCCAGACAGGAAGTCTGAAGACAGGCTGCCATCTTTCTCATCTGAGTTGTTAGTCTCTTGCATTTTTTCCAAGGGTAAATACGACAGTGTCGTCAGTGTACATAATGATCTTAACATCACACACTGAGGGAAGACGTTCATGTATAAACTAAAAAGCAAAGGAAGCAGAGGAAAAGCTGAGGATCAAGCCCTGCGCCCCCATTGTGGAGCTTCGGAGAGAGGATAAGGTGTTGTTTGCTCTCACACGTTGTTGTCTTCCCATCAGATACAACTCAAACCAGTCTTGTCCAAAATGTTCTGTTTTAGAAGAATCCTGTGGTTTACAGAGTCAAACTTTTCTTGCACAAGTCAAGAAAGATACCTCCAACTACTCCACCCTGCTCTAGACCTGATTCATAAGTAGCCAAAAAGTGTACTTAAGTAAGAGGAATGTTACTTCAAGAATAACATTACTCCAGGAGTAGTAGTAGTAGTAGTAGTAGTAGTAGTAGTAAGTACAAAATGGTGTTCTAAGAAATTACTCACGCAAGAGTAAAAAAGTACTACTCAAGTAAGAGCAACTTAACGATCATATATTTCATAAAATGGATTCTAGTGAGTTTTAAGTCATGTTATAATGTTGTTGCTCTTTGAAAAAAGACCTGCAGTTGTGTTTTGTTTCATTCACACGTTTAAGTAAACTACATGTCCAAAGGTCAAAATGCTGTTGACAGCTACATTTTACATGTTAGTCAGTAGAGACGGGAAATTCCAAGGTTGAAATTACCCAAATGATTGTAGTAAAGGAGTATGGAGTTTAAAACAAAGTGGAGCACTTCCTGTACATGACATCACAAGGTAGAGCTGAGTGTTTTCAGTTCAAGAGAAGAACTCTTAAATACGCAGGGTTTGTGTGAATGAAACAAAACACAACTCCAGGTCTGTTTTTGATGAAGAAACAGAAGAACATAGATTAGAAAATAGAGTAATATGATCCCTTTAAAAAGAACTCTGCCAGGGCGTAACATCTGATTTGTAATATTAAGTTAAAGTAATTGGATTGTGAATGCTAGTGGGCCAATGGGCATTCAGTAGATAAATAAATACATAAATAAATAACTAGGTATAAAAATTAGGGCTGGGCAAAAATTAAAAAAATTGTATCGCGATTAATCGCATGTTATACGCAAAACCAATTAATGAATTAAAAAGTAGAGTATAGCGCTCATTTATTGGAAATGTAAATGAAAGAGCCAAACATTTGTTGTGCAAACAGTATTTCTTTCACAGGGGAACCTCAGAGCCTTCAAGGTGTTCTGAAGGCTCAAGAAAAAATATTGAATGGACGTTTGTACTACTAATATATTTATTGAATATTTTTTATGCTGTGAGTAATGAACACTACAATAGTAATAATTTCTAGATCAGTGTTATAAACTTGGACTGATATTTCTTAGGAAACAAAGGGTTAATATAATGGAATGGAAATGGACCAACATTTTTTCTTCCAATGGTATCTGGGTAAATCAGTTACTCCAGCACTGAACTAAAGAAACAAGCTCAGCTCAGAGCCGGTGCCCGCGGCTGAATCCGCTGCCGGAGCCGGAGCCCGCGAAGGCTCGGGCACGTTGCATCTCACGTGGTCAGAAAAAAGTGAAAAAAAGTGTAAAGAAAAGACGTCAAACTTAAAGAAACGCTCGCGGTGGACTTTTTCAAAATAAAACCCAGTGAGAAACAGACGTTTACAATAAAATAAATAAATAAATAATAAAAACTGCGTTAACGGCGTTAAAATAATTGTCAGCGTTAATGACTTAATTGGTTAACGCAAAGTTAACGCGTTAATGTGCCCGGCCCTAATAAAAATATATAAATCAATAGATAAAAAAAACTAGACAATAGAGAATAAGAACCCAGGAGAAAGGGTGTAACTATTTACACAATTTGTGTTTCTGAAAAACTACAGAGGATTTTCACACAACATGAGATCATGGTCTATTTCAAACCTACAAACACTTTAAGACAGAAACTCAGTGTAGCAAGGACTGCAGTGAGCGTCATGTTGGAGAAACAAAATTGCCACTCCATAAGAGAATGTACCAACACAGACGAGAGAGCAGCACAGGACCACAGTCTGCAGTACACCAGTACACCTCCATCTCAAAGTCACTAACCACTCCATTAAAGGTTGGATAGAGGATTTTCCAAGGAACGAGAAATCCAGCGACTGTTTGTCCTTTTTCAAATGTTGCGCATGCGTGAACCCCCCCCTACAGCTCCCTACGTAGAAACGCCTCCTCCTTACGCCAGAAACAGGTTTGTTTACAGCTGGTGCGCTGCACATGACTTGTAAACAACTAACTACAGTGTTGGTTAGGCAAGGCGGAGAAGTGAGGAGCGGGGGAGGGGAAGTGAGGAGCAGGGAGAAGAGCGGAGCAGGGAGAGAGGAGAGGAGAGGGGGAGAGGAGAGGAGAGGGGAGGGGAGGGGTGCGCGGAGATTCCGTGCCCGGAGAAGTGAGGAGCAGGGAGAAGAGCAAAACGGGGAGCAGGGAGAGGAGCACAGAGGGGTGCAGAGAAGAGTGCGCGGAGATTCAGTGTGAATGAAGCTACTACTACAACACGCAGCGGCAAGCGGACTCTTTCTTTGCATTGAAAATGACGTTTTCAGACATAGGATATCACATTCGTGTCCTGAAAAACATTTGTCTAGCTCTTGGAAATAAAGTACGTTTTCATAATAAGCAGAAGTTTCCTGTCCAGGAGTCATTTGTGGACCAGTGGTTCAGTCTTTAGACCCTTCGTCTGCTTCAGTCGCACCATCGCTGGAATGAATCTTCAAGAATCACCTTAGTTTGGCTTTGCTGCTTTTCCCCTTGTCTTCTTCTTTCAGCGACCTCAAAAACGGACTTTCTTTTGCGGCGAACTGCTCCTGGATTCTTGTCGCCATTGCAACAAACTTTGTGCGAACTGCGAGGAAGATATAGGTCAAAAAAGCCGCTAAGAACTGTTGCGTTGGTGGAGTAAACAGCGTCTGTGCGTCTTGCATCTGTGGACTGCGTGACAGACATACGTAAACCACGTACCGGCAGCGCGCAGACAAGTCAGTTACGCTAGAAACGTAGGGAGATTGATTGACAGCCTGTCAGCTCACAGATAACGAGGCAGTGTCGTTATCTATTGGCAAATGTTTAGCCCCACCACGTCCAGAGTTGATGAATTTTTATTCTCTTTTTTTTGGTCATTATAATTACAAGGCTACTGCACCTCTATAATGCTATCATTGACAACTTGAAACAAAAAAAAATCCTCCATACAACCTTTAAGGCAAGTGAGGGACAGATCCAAGCCAAAGAAAAGAACTGGTTTGAGAGGGGAGTTAAAGAGGCTCCTTTTTTTTGAAAGACAATCCATCTTTGAACAGAAACAGAGGGCTCAGATACCATCTCTCTCCTATTTACAACTCCATTCTAAAACCAAAATCAAACCAAAGAAAACAACAGTGATGGCCTGTATGCTCAGAGGTGTGAAAGCACCCTTCAGGGGCCTGAATGATTCTGCTAATATGACTCAGGCACAATTCACACTTCAATAAACGTAGATAACAAACAGAAACAGTGGACAAGTAGGTGTGTTAGTTTCAGAGTAGTTTCAGTGTAGTTAGCTCCGCCCTTCTGGCAAACATAAAGCAGTGACCACCAGCGTCTGACCAGAACTGAAGAAGCAGCATGGGTGAGTTGTAAAATGTTTTCATTCAAAAACTTTGGCCCAGTTGACAGACTTGATTTTTTTCTTTTGCTGTGTAATGTGCATGTGGCTACCAGAACAAATGGAACTGTACTTAATATTTGACATCGTATCATGTGATTTTAACCCACTAAGAAGAGCAGCATGTGCAGTTCAAAGGACACTAGTAAGGGACTGTTTGGATTGTGTGAAATGAGCTGTTTGTTTTTCCCGTGTCCATGAAGACCTTGCAAGAGTTAAGGCGCTAGCTGAGAAACTATCTGTGGACATTTAAGATGCTACAGACTTTTTACACCATATGGGGCAGCAGAGGACTTTCCAGAGGAAACACTTGGAAGGAATGAACCATTTCATCACCAACTGAAACACTAGAGTGGAGTAAGAACGAGGCCTTTCCTGTTGAGTTCACCTGTCTCCCCCTGGACTCAGCTGTGACGCTGCAGGACACAGAAGAGAGATACTTTTCTTCTTCCACAGGATCTGCTGACCCTCCCTGACCAGTCCTCATGTTGAACTAACCTCTGAGACATGCAGTGGAAAATGTTGCAGCAACATTAACTGCAACATTTTGCTGCATCAAAATTTGAATTTACCACAGGATCAATAAAGTCTCTTTCTCTCTCTCACTCTCTGTAATTGGAAGCACAAAACATGAATGTGGAGTTCATTGTTTAACTGTCAGATTGCAGATTTGTTCTTCTGGTTTTAACCATAAGCTGCACAGCCAGGAAACAAGGTTTTAGGTTTTACATTCTGCTGGTTCTGTTAGTTTGGCTTTGGCTCCTTTTTTATACATTTTACTTGTTGTGGTTTTGTCAGTATTTAAAATGAAGGTTTGTTCACCTTATTCCATTGTTTTGTCTCTTCAGGCAAATAAACTGCGAACCAAAACTCTGCACAACACACTCAACCCAGTGTGGAGTGAGACGCTGACCTACTACGGCATCACCGACGAAGACATGGTCCGCAAGACTCTCAGGTAACAGTCCTGTAGACTACAAGGCTGATCAACAGTGTCCAAAATCAGATACTGATCAATACTAAAGTGAGTATCCAAACTCAACTGAGCATTGAGAAAAAGAAATCATTCACAGGACAGGAATGAACCTTTCCTGAATGTCTTTAGAATAAACTTGAGCTCTATCAGAACAAGTATAAAAGCACATAGACTATGTGCATGTGTACACCCGTGAACACTATGAACCTACTGCACCACTGAGGATTACACACATATAAGACACACTGGAACAGAACAGAAAATACTATGACTTAATTCTATTTTTTTGCATCAAAATGTGGACTGGTTGCAGAGTCTATGCCTTAGTATCAAAATTGAGTTGAATGTTCGTATCATGACGACACTAACACACGTGCCGCAGTCTCAGGTAACAGAAGTGTGAGCTGGGACCGACCTGGACCAGTGAGAGAGAAGAGGAGCAGGGTCAAACTCCATGTGGGTCAGAGGTCAACACAGGGAGTAGTATTATCAACCAAATATAGGGTCGGTGGTTTGAACTCAGACTTAGATGTTCATAATTTAGCTGTGTCCTTGAGCAAAACACTTCTCCCACATTACCTTCACCTTCATGGTGCTCATGAGGCAGCAGCAGATGAAGCACGGTAATTATCATCACCGAGTGTGACTAAATGAATAATGCAGGAAATTGTAAGTGATTAAACTTCGGCAGAACACCAATGTATTTTTATTATTTTACCAAACTCCAAAATGGAATTTGAATGTTGCCTTTTTCATTTCAGTATGCTGGATGTTGCTTGGCAAGTTTAAAATGATCTCTCTGTATTTTTATACATTTAACAGTCTGATCCCCACACCTCTATCACGCCTCTATCACGTCTTAAACCTGGACAAATGTGATTATCTGCTCAAATTCATTTTTTTGGTGTTTACATGTGAAACAAAAGAGCTCATTTGTCATCGATCATTTTGAATAAAATCAAACCTCTCTCACCTCAGATGAACAGAGTTTAATGATCCGCTCATTGATTCTGTAGAAAACTGCCAAGTCCTCGTTATCAGCCATATTTGCTTTATTACTGATGAACCATGTGTGTCCCTGATTTAATCCACCTGTCAATCACACCTATATGAACTCTGAGTGATTCACCGGTGACCAGACTCACGTCTTCATTAGTACAGGAGAATTATTCTGGATCAGACAACTCTGGATCAACACACATCCCTCATTGAAAACAAGTGGCATAATGTATTTATATAGACTCATTTTCATTTAATTAGAGCTGATATTACAGGGAACAGCATGCAGGAAATCAACATAACTAGCTCCTTTTTCCAGTAACACAGTATGACGCAGAGTTTGTGTCATCTCCGTCACCTTTGTTCTAGCACAATAGGCTCCTATAGGCTGCTCTTGATGTGGAGATGGTCACAAACAGTATACAAAGCTCTTCCCTGTTCAGAGTGTGTATGTAGATGTACAGAGAGCCCACGTGTTAGGAGCCAAGCCACTCCAGTGCACACTGACTGACTCAGTACAAACAGACAGTGAAGAGTGGTTAGACCAAGTGAGCGTGGTTAATAGTTAATAGTATCTGACATATTAGACTGGTCATTGCACTAAAACATAGTTCACATTGTCTTTCACATAGTTATGTTTATTTATTGTTTATAATTTCACTTCCTGGTTGGACAGCAGCAGCAGACATGACACACTATAGACATTCATATATAAACATACAGTATCTCTGCCTGTTGCTACTCAATCACTTGGCGTAGTTGTTGTTACCCAGACTTACATTCATTGAATACTCTTTTACATACAAACAAATGTGGAGCCCAAACCTTGTACCTGCTCTGGATACAGTGAAAAGTACAGTTGCTCCGGCGTCCCAAAATCTTCTCGTATTTGGAGCTGCTAAATGAATAACATGAGTACCAGACCCTGCATGTACTAATTACATATCTATGTGACATACTAATGACATATGATCAGGGGAGACAGGGGAGACAGGTTAGGCAGTGCACCTGTCATTTTGGGGAAAAAACTGCTCAGTATCAACAGGACTAACAGGACTCTTGTGATTTGTGGTGAGTTTTGTGGCCACACCAGCTTGGCCAAGCCTGATCTCGTCAGATTTCAGAAGCTAAGCATGGCCGGGCCTGGTTAGTAAAGGGGCATTTGAACCACTCTTAGGCCACGTTCAGACTGCAGCCTGAAGTGACCCAATTCAGATTTTTTGGCCTCTATGTGACCTGTATCTGATCTTTTAATGACAGTCTGAATGACACAGATCAGATTTTTTTTCAAATGTGACCCAGGACACTTGGATATGTGCTCCTAAAACCGATGCATATCTGATCTTTTGACATGAGACATCAGTCTGAACGGCCAAAGTGCATTCATTTGACCTTTATCAACAAAACACAAATGCCACTATTCTGCGCTGAAGTAAGCGGAAAATTTAAGAAAATTGTTAATGAACTCGCTATCCCACCACTCTTGGCTACGTTTGCGCAGCCACAAGTTCCTTTCAGCGGACGTTGCTGCTGCTGCCCCACAAAACACAACGGCCAAAAACCTCATCCTTCTCCTTCTCAATCTCCTCCTTAAAACAAGTAAGTTGTTCATGTTCTGGCTCAAGAGACAAGAGAAACTTTAAAATCTCCAGGTGCTCAATGCTCGCGTCCATATTTGGACAACTTCTGTAAACACAGAGACGCTCGCTGTGGTTGACGTCGTCATGTCTCCAGTGCACATGTGGCACACTTTTGGGCCGTTTAAAGTTCACACTGGAGTCACATACAAGTCACATTTAACTGGAAATGTGAACGACCTCGCAAAAACATCAGATTTCACAAAAAAAAATTGAATTCAGCATTAAGCCCTGCAGTCTGAATGTAGCCTATGTCTGACCCTTCCCCCCAGACCTGTTTGCCTTGGGTGGCCAGGAACATAAAGACAACACAGCTCCTGGGATCATTCAGGCACCCAAACCACTCCACCACGTTTAGGTGGCGGTTCAAGGAGGGGTGCTAGGTAACAGTTATGGAATGACTTCTTTGACATAGCTGCTGCCCATGTCCAATCAGGAAGTGAAATGATAAACCTAAATACACTGATGTTATCGGTATGTATTACTAAATGGTATAGTATAATATAGTATTAAGTATTAGTTCATTTTAGTGACACAGTCTGTCATATGCACTTGAAGTATTTGTTCATGCTTTATTTGTCCTTTAGAAGTGTAAGTCTCCTCCCTGGTCCCTGTGGCTGCTCTGCTCTTTGTGCAGGATTTCCGTGTGTGACGAGGACAAGTTCCGACACAATGAGTTCATTGGAGAGACACGCATCCCTCTGAAGAAACTCAAGCCCAACCAGCTCAAGAACTTCAACAACTGTCTGGAGAAGCAGCTGCCCGTGAGTCCCATCCACACACACACAGCACATGTGTACGGGACACCATCCACACACACACTACTACTACTACTCTATGAGCGTTTTGCCATGTCACAATAAAATACATAATATCCAACTCAGGAAGGTTCAATCAAAGTGCACACAGGTTTAGGGAGAGTGCTAACAGAACGTTCGACTGAAGGGCTGGCCTGCACAGAGCGACTTAAAGGGCCTGATGGTGTATTACTCTTGGTTTTACTCTCTTATTTATTTATGTTCAGTGGTGTGATAGCAAAACTTTTTAAGAGCGGTGTGTAGCCTGTGGCCTTACTGGTTTGAAATGAATACAGGTTAATTAAGGCTCTGGCAACACAGAACAACTACAGGCCAACAACCCTCAAACTGTAAGAAAACCCAGAACTGAAGAAGCAGATTTGGATGAGCTGCAAAACTTTTGTCCAGTTTTGCACAGTGATAAAATAAATAAATAAATAAATAAATAAAGTTTAAAAAAATTAAGTAGTGCAATTCTATTTTAAATATTTGTTTAAAAATAGGACTGTGTTTCAGAGTGCACTTTGTGAACAACTTTAGGAGTATTCACATTTGAGAAAAGACTGAAATCTGAGTTGTTAAACTAATACAACAATCACATGCACATTTGAGGTCTAAACTACAGGTACAGCAAGTTTTTATTTATTTATTTATTTCATTATATATTATCTTTGCAGAGGACATTCTATTCTTTAAATAACTACAGCCTTTTAGATTTGATAATGGTTAATTGTACAGCCCTAATGTAGTAACCTGACCAGCCAGAACCACATGTGTTAACAAAACTTTACACAGACGAGTGGATCTGGAGCAGTAGAGGGATATGATGATGATGATGATGATGACGATGATTATACAGCAGCAATTCATCATTATAGCTACATATGGAGTATCTTGTCTCTCTGATTTCAGAGGGTGTGAGTGACGATCAGAGAGACATGGTATGTTCATGTTAAAAAACAAACAAAGGATTGAGAAACAGTGTAGATTTTCTCAGAATCAACAATTAAAGCACCAAACTACTAGTTATGAATGTAAATCGGTATCGAAAGCATTCCTTCCTTTTAAAATCAAGTTTGAAATGTTAATATTGTGATAAAAACTAATTTGTACTCATTTAGAGAACAACAAATCACTCCCTCCAACAATCCTCAAGCCATTATCTGGTGCTCAGTCCTCTGTGTCATTGTTATTCACTCAGTGGTCATTTCAAAGATATAAAATCATGTCCACGTTCAACAAAACAGTCGTGTGTTTTTCCGTTCATAGTCCCATTGGAGAGTGGGAGTCCCTGGAGTTGCTGTGTTTGCCCTCCATTTTGTATGGCTATAGAAAACACACTCCCACACCCTCAGTATGTCTGACATCAACACAATAACACCACATTAGAGAGGAAAAGAGTCAGAAGCTCATGGTGCTGTGTGAACGCCAATTGAGGCCAATCGAGACTTGCAGTTTTAGTGGCAAACTGCAACCAAAGAGCCAATCAGGAGCCAGATTGTTGAAGGTACTCACCCTGGACTGCCTATCCTTTTTCTTAGCAAGGAGGCACAATATCTGTCAATCAAAGTTGTTAAGACAAACTGGAGCAGACACAAGAGGACACAATAAGACTAAAGAGCTAAAGGACAAAACCTTTGGAAGAAACCAGCAAAAACACATGACACTAAAACCACAAGAACACCGTGACTGACGACTGACCGTTTAAACACACAGGGCACAGAAATACTAGTAAAAAACAACTGAGGCTGTTTAGTCCTCCAGGTGTGTGTCTGACTCCACCCCTGCAGGTGTGTGTCTGACTCCACCACTCCAGGTGTGTGTCTGACTCCGCCCCTGCAGGTGTGTCTGACTCCACCCTCTGCAGGTGTGTGTCTGACTCCGCCCCTGCAGGTGTGTGTCTGACTCCACCACTCCAGGTGTGTGTCTGACTCCGCCCCTGCAGGTGTGTCTGACTCCACCCTCTGCAGGTGTGTGTCTGACTCCGCCCCTGCAGGTGTGTGTCTGACTCCACCACTCCAGGTGTGTGTCTGACTCCACCCTCTGCAGGTGTGTGTCTGACTCCGCCCATGCAGGTGTGTGTCTGACTCCACCCCTCCAGGTGTGTGTCTGACTCCGCCCCTGCAGGTGTGTGTCTGACTCCGCCCCTCCAGTAAGTTCTACGCAAAGTCTGGAGACACGGGGAAAAAGCGACACTCGTGGAGAGAAGCAGAAGTGAACAGTGTATGAGGAAGTGTTTGATCAGAAAATCCACGTATATAGAAGAATTACCTTCTGATTTGCGCATTTAAGTGTTTGGTTCGCCAAAATACGGAGAAGGGCTGTTTATTCCACTCATTATTCGCCACAATATTATACATTTGACACTCGTGCACGAGCGCGGCCACGTTCCCGGACTCAGTGTAGCACAGAGTCCCACAGTCCACACCGTGACCATAGACTTCTATAGAACACAGACTGTGACCAACACAGAGGACGAAATAATGACCCGACCTGAGAGAAAACTCTTCCCTTGGACGCAGCAGGAGCCAGGCTTTGATTTAATGAACGCAACTTTAACACTTTTACTTTAGTCTTTACGCATCGAGCGGCAGAGTGACACGAGTCTGCGGACAACACGAAGCCTACTGCCCGAACCTGACCCCAACCAAAATCTTCCCTACATTTTTGTGTAATGGGGAACTCTTGTACATGAGAGCTGCTCTCTGACTGTATGAAGAACAGAATAATGCCCGTGCCCGTCCCGACCCAGACCCAGACCCACACTCACAGGTTCAGCAGTTTGGATGTTTCATGTGGACTTTAATTGGCAGAATAACATCTGTAGCTGATGTGTTTCATGCTAAATCTGTGTCCTCATATCCTCGTGTCCCTCCCTCGCTCCTTTCCCTCTCCAGGGGAGGGCATCTGAATCTCTTGCATGCGCTCATAATTTGCGCATGCACGTACCTACGTGTATATGCATAAATATAGGGCCAGTCCTCACACACTTCATAGACAGACTTAAAAATATAGGGATAAAACTCTTGAAACAGCGAAAAAACACATGGGCTTTACTGCAAAGATGTTCTGCCTAAATATTATAAAAAAATTATTAAATGAACAGATGAGTCATTGTTGTCAATTTTAGTTTTGTATTTATTTATTAAACAAGGTTTAATAAAGTCTTTAATAAAGTGTTTGTCGTGATCACGTGGTGCTGCGTGGAGCGTCCTCCTCCCTCTGTCCCGTGTGTCTCGGTCAAACCCACTGATTATCGGCTCATGTTTAGGGAAATCTCATTCACGAGTCACTTTACATGCTCCTTTTATGGTGAGGTGGAGGTGTGAGGGGGCGTGACGTGACGTAGGTTTACGTGCGCAAATTGTAGTTGCAGGTGAGATTTATAAAGCAAAGATTGCGTGGTTTGGTGCGTGCGGTGGGTTTTCTAAATATGGAGTTTGCGTGGCGCACGCCTCTCATAGCTACTAGGCGTACGCACTAACTTACGACAACTCCTGTGCAGTTTTTATAAATGAGGCCCCAGGTGTGTGTCTGACTCCACCACTCCAGGTGTATGTCTGACTCCGCCCCTCCAGGTATGTCTGACTCCGCCCCTGCAGATGTGTGTCTGACTCCGCCCCTCCAGGTGTCATGCATCTGCAGCAGTCATGAGTCAGTGCTAGTGCAGCCTCTGCAGCTCAGGGAGGGAATTCAAAGGTTCTGAGTGTCACATGAGGCCTGAACATAAACTGAGAATGAGACACAATTGAATGTGTCTCTGGTCACACAGGTCGTTATGATTTGATCTTTAAAGTAAGACACAGGCTTGATCTGTTAGTATGCATTCAAATGGTGGTGAATGGACTCGTAACAAAATGTTATTAAAAACACCATGTACGTCTCATTTTAACAAGGCACCTGCTCAAAACACAAATGCAAGCAGCACAATGCAGAAAAACGTCCATCTGGTTTGTTGTGATTATGTAATACTTCTAAACAACATAAAAGTACAGTGCAGTAGTGTGTAGCTGACAGTGAGTGCTCTCAGCTCATCAGTGGAGCCTGGAGCCTGGGGTGAGAGACAGGTCAAGATCTCTGTGAGGTCGAGAGCTTTACACAGACAAACTCTAAGCACATCAGGAGTTCTACATGTACAGAGAAACCAAGTGTGCTGTACTTCAACTTGGATTCAGTGTTATATTAATGGCCACTCAGCAGTATCTCCTGTCATTTTCAACTTTTTACCAACTTGCCTACACAAACTGCCACTGCCAGTGTCAGACTGTAAGTGCAGATGTAAGTTGGATGTAAGCCTGTAAAGGTCGTGTTTGTGCTAAAAACATGATTAAGAGTGGGTTTAATGAAGCAGAACTGTGTCTGAGGTCACACACACTTCACTTAATGAGTATGGAGTCTTCTTTACTGTACCAGATACACAACTCATTATATCAGTAATGGATGGATACCACAACTGTTTACCATAGTATTACTTGGTATTCCATTGCTAACTTTGATCCAAAATGTTCTATATTTTATTTGAGCATTTAACCATGTTTTAATATTTGAAAAATTACCTTGAATATTTGCAATGTTACGAGCTGGGGAGCAGCCCCCAGTGACAGGGCGAGCAGAGGGGACAGAGATGGAGAGAGGAGGTGGAGAGGAGAGTAACAGAATCTTCAACTGAATTTGAAACTGAACTGGAAACCAGTGGAGCTGCTGGAGCACTGTGTGATGTTGATGTGATGATGTTGATGGAGGGTGTTCTTGGTAGGATTCGAGCAGCTGAGTTCTGTAGGAGTTGTAAGTTTTGGAGTGATTTGTGACAGAGTGTATGGAGAAAAGAGTGACAGTAGTCAAGTCTCGAGGTGACCAGGCTACTGACGAGGATCGCAGGAGTGTGTGTGTGTGTGTGGGGGGGGGGGGGGGGGGGGGTCATGATCCTGAGGTGAAAATACGCAGACTTTGTGATATTGTTGGTATGG